TTCCTCCCCATGGATTCACAGCTGTCGCCTGTCTTACACAAGGAGTCTGCATTAGAACCTGAAAGGCATATTGATGTATACTCGGATACCAACACACAATCACTACTGTACGGACTTCAGTATAACAAACAAGTTCACTATTACGACATAACACAGTCTGTTTAACCTTTTTAGAAATCTTATTCAAATATCATGTGCGAGATTAATAATTTTAATCCAGGTTTTATTTAATTGCATCAATTAAAATGAAGTTATTTAGAATCTTAAAATCTTTATAAATATACTCATTTTTTCATATTGATTCAATACTTTTCAAATTCTTTTTTAAAACAGTTTTTGATTTATTTTCTCTCTGGGATGAACACCTGATTGGGTAATATTTTCCAAGGAATAGCCCTAACCATCCAAATAAGAAAAACGAAACAAAGTGAAAATGAAATTACTACAGTGCAAGTTTTTGCACATTTACCATAGTCATTGTGGTGAACATTCTCAGGTACAATTATGATATCATAAAACCAAATGAGAGGAAATTTAAATGCTTTGTCACACTCTGATTGAATCATACTTCGATATTGGCCTTCTCAGCCAAACCGTTATCTTTCAACTTCACTTGGCAAATTGATTTCTTATGATCTGCTATTAATGAATTTCATTATGCCAAAATATCAGTTATTGAAAATGAAGAATTCTCAAGAGAGAGAAATATGAAAAATCTGGAAAATGTTCATGATTGCTGGTGGCTGTCCTACACAATACAATCTTTCTGAAAGAAAATATTTTTTTCATATATTGATTTTATTATCGATTTACAAAATCTTAAAATTGAAATACTGACTTCATAACCTTCACATTTCAAAGTCTGGAAAGTAATCAAAGAAATAAAAAACAGTACCGCATTATATTTAAATAATATTGATATTTATATAAATAATTGGGCTATAGGTGATAGGATACTGTAAACAGAGTCTGTGTTGTGTCAAGCAGAACAAGAGGTTTAGGCCATAGTATAGTCATTTCTCAGTATTCATATCAGTACTAAAGACCGACTTGTTGATGATCATAGGAACACACTCATGGCCATGAAAAATATTTTCATATAAAATATGTTTTATTGACATCTGTAATAAAAGCACCTTTTCTATCACACAATGCTGTACGTCAGAACCTGTGATAGAATCGTCTGTAAACTTTACCCTTTAGACTTCAGAACACTGCGAGCTTTTATCTCACACAGGGAAACAATCTGTCAATTATAACTAAGAATAACACTGTGACAGTGATTAAATGTATAATACTAAAGCCAACATGAGTTTCCAAAGATTAATTTTATTCAGTTTCAATCTGCTCATTGATTATTGCGACCTTGACTCTATCAACTCAGCCATTAAGAACACAAACCATATAGGGAAAACATTCTCGATCGTGGGACCTCCAAGAAATTAGAATTATATTTCTGCAAGAGTGACATTTATTTGACATCCCATCATGGGTTGGTTTTTACTTGTCACAAACAATGCTGAATACTTTCAAATATAACGAGTCCATTCTCAATTGATTTTTGAAATTGATCGAGGTTACACTGTCTTGGTAACATTATGCACGATATAAAACAACATGCACTGATCAGTTATAATTTACTAGAAAAACAATACAAATAGTTTGCCACCAGATAACTCAAGATGTCACTACTTTAAACAATTTTCAAAGCTGCTGTAACAGAAGCCTCCGGAAATTTATTGGGTTTTATTCCTACTTGTTATACTGTTTGAAAATAATGAACACAATGCTCATAACCATTACAGACATCCCAATCGGTCTATTACTCTCTGTAGGCCAAGGTCATCTCATGTCTGTTTTCAACATTAAACTTTAGAATGTTCCTCATTTCCTGTCCCCTCTTGCCTTGTTGTCATTTGTCATTTTGGGAAAAATATTTCTCTCTCACCATTTTTTTTTAAAGATCTCGATCTCGACTCAGAAAGAAAAACAAGAGGCCCATGGGCAGTAATGGTCATCTGACCAAAATACACGGAGAATGTAGATGCTCCTCACAAAATAATAAATGGAAAAAATAGTAAACATGAACAATTCAGTAAATGTTTGGAAATTATTGTTCTCCCTGTTTTATGTTTCAGGCCAAATTTGGTTGAAATATATTCCGGCATGTCAGAGAAGAATTTTAAACCCTAATTTCCAAATATCCCCTAAAAGTCCTAACCCAGTGGTCCCTAGGGGCCACAACATCTTCATTTATACAAATTATAATTGCTGTCCCCAGTTTCAGGCCAAATTTGGGTTAAATCAAGGCGGCCCTTAAGAAGGAAGAGCGTTTAAAAGCAGATTTATGAAGTTCCCCCTTGAGGCCTCATCTCAAAGTCCCCATGGGTGGAATCAACTTCATTTAAATAAATTAGAATTTTCTTCCCATAGTCTATAATTATTTTTTCAGAATCAATTATCTGGATGAGGATAGTGGCAACATTTAATGAACTACATTAAAACTGTTTGAGTCTGATCTTTTTGACATTAAAATCTATATATGTATATTAAGTCAGTGACCCTAAATTGGACAAATCATATAAAAACACTCCACAGCAGTTGTTCTCTACCTTTTGAATTCTATTAGATACTGTACAGGCAATTCATTCTATGGAATATCCTTTTCGTTTACAACTTTGATGTTTGACGAGCCATTACGCTCCAAATAATCATTAGATTCTCCTCTAACTTGCATAAGTGTAAATTGTATCATAAATCCTTAAAGATTTGCTAAACTCTGCTATCAGCTACAGTTTCTAAAATTATGCAACGTATCCCTCTGAAAGGAACTAGAAATAGACATCCCCCATGTTGCCTAGACATAAAGCTTAGTAGGAATATAACCCAAACTTTGAAGTTTGGTGTAAAGGTCAGAGGGTTTATACCCCGAAAGTTGAAGGTCAGTGTTAAGGTCAAAGGGTTTATACCCCGAAAGTTGAAGGTCAGTGTAAAGGTCAGAGGGTTTATACCCCGAAATTTGAAGGTCAGTGTTAAGGTCAGAGGGTTTATACCCCGAAATTTTAAGGTCAGTGTAAAGGTTAGAGGGATCATACCCTGAAAGTTTAAGGTCAGTGTAAAGGTCAGAGGGTTTATATCCTGAAAGTATAAGGTCAGTGTAAAGGTCAGAGGGTTTATACCTGAAGTTTAAGGTCAGTGTAAAGGTCAGAGGGTTTATACCTAAAATTTGAAGGTCTGTGTAAAGGTCAGAGGGTTTATACCCCGAAAGTTGAAGGTCAGTGTTAAGGTCAGAGGGTTTATACCCCGAAATTTTAAGGTCAGTGTAAAGGTCAGAGGGTTTATGCCTAAAATTTGAAGGTCAGTGTAAAGGTTAGAGGGATTATACCCTGAAATTGTAAGGTCGGTGTAAAGGTTAGTGAGTTTGTACACGAAAATTGAAGATCGGTGTAAAAGTCAGAGGGTTTATACCCCTAAATTTTAAGATCGGTGTAAAGGTTATTATTATTATTATTACAGTCTTAATGGCCCGTCAACACATAAAAAGGTCATTAAGGCCATCAAACGGTAAAACACACAGTGATCCAAAGGAAATAACATTAAACAAACCAAAAGGTAAAAGACAAATGTTAAAAATCTTAAATGGGTATGTTAACACAAAAGATTAAAATGGTACATGAATTTTACAAATCTCATCAGTTTCAAAAAGGGATTTTAGACATGTAATGTTAAGATTCTCGAGTAGACAGAAGGTCAATGCAGTCCAATAAAAAATGTTTAACGGTGAATGGCTCATCACATCCTATGCACCATGTATTATCTTCGCCTTTCAACATATATGAATGTGTAAGGTATGTATGACCCATCCGAATATGGGCAAGCACAACTTCGTCTCAGTGGTTGTCTCTATAGCCTGGAGACCATTCACCGATAACAGGTTTAACGGAGTGCAATTTGCTTTTGGCATTAAGTATTCCGTTCCTCCTGCCACTGAGCTTTTAAATTTGTTTTAATAAATGGTTTAAAATCGGTAAAATGAAGTTTAAACACAACAGGTGGTAGCCATAAAGCTTCCTTTGCGGCACGATCTGCTTTTTCATTGCCTGGTATTCTCATGTGCCCAGGAACCCAGCAAAAAGCAATACGAAAGTTGGAGACAAGTTCATGATATAGTATTAAGGAATTACGAAAGAAAATATTTTCGATATTTCTATTGCTAAGACTTTGTAGAACGAAAGAGAGTCTGAATGGATAACTGCTCTCATTACTTTGTTTCTTTGAATATATTCAAGGGTGAGGTAGATAGCTCGCTCTTCTGCCGAGAATATTGAGGCGTTGTTCAGTAGCCAGCATCCATAGGTTTCATCTTGCATAACCATGGCCGCAGCAACCTTATCATTATCTTTTGAACCATCAGTATATAAATGTAGAAATGTTTCATATTTTAACTGCAATTTTGAGAAGGAGGAATGAAAGGTGTAACTGTCTGTGTCTGATTTAACCATTTCATAAAGTGAAAAGTCAACTTCAGGTGAATTCATGAGCCAGGGTGGAATTTCTAACATTCCAAATGACTGAATTTGGTTAACGTCAATATTTGTGTTTTGTAAATAGCGGAAATTCGAATACCAAATGATGGAATGGTTTTTGGTTTGTGTTGAAACAAGGTTTTATATTTTGGATCAAATACAAGGGAAAAGGCAGGATTTGAAGGACTTGACTTTAGCTGAATGGTGTATTGCACAGCCAATTTGGAAGGATTAAATCCCGAAATTTGAAAGTCGGTGTAAATGTTAGTGGGTTTGTTTTGTCTATTTATCAAAAACATATTCCCAGACATTACACATGACTAGTAACACAACATTAAAGTATTTTGTCACCAGGTATTTCAATGTTGTGACTTTATCAATTTTCAGAGTAAATAATAGAGACTTTTTAATTTACTTTGCTTTCTGAGACATTCTTCACTTATTTGGTGGACAAGAAGAACAACAAAACAGATATTCTATGGAAAGTTGTTTTATTTGACCATATTACAGATATGCTCCATCTTCACCATCTAATCACTGAATAGGTTTAGAGACCAGCTTTAATCATCTGTCTGGTCCAAACTGAACATCATAATGAAAACTAGTTACCCATTTATTTACAGAAAAAAAAGTTTGGTCAATTTTGACCAGACAGTCAATCCTATTTGTTTTAAAGCATGCAAGAAAGTGTACATCATTCCCAGCCCATTAAGTTTTGTTACAGATATACCCTGGTATTACCTAACTACACCTGGTACATGTGATCAGTGTTAATGTTACATCACGTAATATACAACATAATTATATTTGTGTTATAGTGAGACTTCCAATATTTGACCCCAGTTTTACATTTGACCATCAGTAGATCTTCTAAATTAAATAAAAAATTCAAAATTGCATCAAGTCCAAAAGAAAAGCAATTTATAATATCTTGTTTTAAGGCGGTTTATAAAAACACTTTTCTGAGGCTTGAAGTTTTGAATACCTGTGATCTCCAATGGAAAAATATGAAGTACAAACTTTGTCCTCTACGATATATATTACAAATATTATTTGAAGTCTCGTACATCAAGTACCTATCTAAACAGATCTGAAAATTCCTGTTGATTTTTTTTAATGATTTCTGAGCTTCGATACAGGTGGGAACTTATATTACTCCAAATGTACAACAGACAGACAGGCAGAGCTGGAGAGGAAGTCTTGATAAAGTCTACAAGGTCAGAATCAATCGCAGTTTAACTTTAGTCTCCCAGCACCTTAGCAGGACCGAACGGATAGTCAAAAGTAATATACTGTAGGGAAGTGCCACCTAAATATATATAACTGACGATGGTGATTGTGTAGCAGGTACAGTCATAGTATTTAGAGTTTTAAGATACTGAATCAGTAGAACAAGTCCCTTGTATGATATAACAAATCTTTGTAAATAAATACCTACCGCATCAGACATGATGATCAAAAACAAATTCAACAATGGACAAGGAATTACATTTTTAAAAAATCTTTTCTAGTCATCAAATGTCCTTCACCTTTCTGGATATCTGTATACATGGTAAAGTTACAATGTGAAAATGGCAGCATGTACAGCTGTAATACCTCAGATATCATTACAACTCTTCAACACATAACATATTAATATATCATAAATCTCTCCTGTCAAGTCATTTCATATTAAGTAACAACAGCTCATCCAAACATTTTCTCATCATCCATGTATATCTATATTACCTTTCAAATTTAGCCTTGACTTTATGTGAATAAGCATTTCATTCACAGTATACAGATGAATGTCAGTGACAATACCACAATGCATTAAGAAAACAGGAATAGATTTCTTATCTGATGAAGGATAATAACATATTATCATAACTGATAAAACAGATGATTTAGATACAACCTTGATTGCCTAAAGATTCACGTAGGATGGCCTCTATTTGGAATCATAAGATGTAAACTAGATCATACCTTATAAGTAATTCTGTCACAATTAAAAAATGTCGCAACGTTTTCCAAATCCTATTCATAACCACACATTTATTCCTCCTCTTAACAAATTTTTAAAAAACGTAAGCACTAAATATGTTTTATCAGTAAATAAGACAAGAAATTTCCCAATTTGTGTTGAAATGCTAATAAAACATAACTGAATACAGTGCTGTTACATATATTGTATATAAAAGAGCACTTATCCGCTACAAACTGTTAAACTAGCTACCTTCATCTTACAGCTGACATGCGAATTCTGAGGAAATAGGTGATGTAGAATTAACTAAATATCAATTAGAACACTTATTTTACCATGTCTTTTACCTCTCACACAGTGTGACAATTACCTCTGCAGAAAAGCATGAGGTGATAATATGACAAGGGAGATAACTTTCACAAGGATTCACGGTGGACAAAAAAAACCAAGTCACAAAGAAATTTTTTTTAAAAAATGCCATATCTAATATACAATATCATCTGTACCTGACAAATTATCACACACAATCAGACAATCAGTCTGAACAAGAAACGCACAAACTCTCTTGATGTAAAGTAACATCACCACTCTATATATGATACATTATTAAGATTGAGTCACGACTGTCACACTCTCTGTTTGAGATTAAATAAAATTTAATAGCGACTGTGAATACCTGCAAAAGCTTACCAATAGTTTTTTAAACTGGAAAGGACAATACTGTATCTTCTTACTGACTGCAGTACTTTTAAGTACCGATATACAAATTTTACTTCAAAACAAACAAAAATTATAAACCAAAATAAACAAAGCTTTCCCATATTTTAACAGTACTTTGATATACTTTTGTGTTGATAAATCTATACAAGATACTATAATTTAAATGATTACAAGATAAAAACAATGTCCACATATAAATAATGTTAAGACTGATGTCGATCACAGCCAATTGTGTGATCACAAACAAATCTTTTTATAACGTTTCGCCTTTGGTTTCTTAACCGAAGCCTCCAGCCAGTGAGAATAGACCAACTCAATGAGATAATATGACTACCAGTTTTATCATTTGTAACTCTAGACACATCACAAGGTCACACACACAGTTCAAGTCACTCACATTCTCAAAATAACAGATAAATAACTTCTTCTTCCATATTGTGATCATCCTGCAACAGTGATCACTTAACAAACAGAGGAAAAATTTATACATCGCTACACAACTTGTATGTGTTACAGATTTTTTTTTCTGAATCTTTTTATTGTAAATCTGACAGCAGACTGGAATGAATGCTGTTGTTTATAGGTAGAATAAGTATTTGTTAACTGAGCAGTGTAAACAAGAAGTGGGACACACATCTTTTTTTTTACAAACATTGCCTCTCCTTTTTCATACAGATATATTATTACAACAAATCAATCCCTTGTTCTGCCATCTTCATTTTGCACATTGCACAAGTTCAAATGCCCTGGATTGCATTAAACAACAGTCACATGACCTAAAATTTCAATGGTAGATATAAGCCAAGAAACTTCTGGATAAAAAAAAAATGATGGTAATATGGCAATATGTGTTGTGAGTTTCCTAAGGCAACCATGGATATAGCAGTACATAGGGATAGTTGTGGCGGAGATGGTTCCTTCATGAAGGTAACAGACCATAACTCTCCAAAGGAACCCAAATGCTGACTAATCACCATATCCACCAATGGTCTGCTGTATCATGGTAACTGACAGTTCTATGTCTAGGGCTCGAAATTGTTGTGCGATCTTGGTAAGCTCCGATGTGTTCCAATGGCCAGAACCAAATCAAACACTCCTTTTTAATTGGCAGTAATTTATCTCCAGTAGAACATTAACTTCCATATCTATCCTGAAAATACACAAATGAACATGGAATCACAAAGAGCAAAGATCAATGTAACTGCAGAGTTCAAAGCAACGCAGCAAAATATTAACTACCAAGTACTGTTCACTTTCACCATGAGGAGAATCAGTATGTAAATATGTTTTCATTTGTCTCTATACTGTGATCAAATTAATTCTCATTTAGGTTCTTCATCAACCCTATAGTTTTATCATAGGCCTCAGAGAAAGCAGTTTATTTCATCTATGTTAATCGCGTTTGTTTTCTATTAACGATCAGTCTGCCTTGTGTCACTGATCGAAAACCAAAGTGGGATTATCTTTAAAATCATAACACATTATAACAGCTGTAAGTAGTTTTCGAACACATATTTGTTTAATAGAGAAGCTATTTCTTAGCCAGAATGCCTAACAACATACTGAAACTATTGACACACCTACATCACAGTCAAACTTGCCTTAAAGGTCACACGAAAATCTGTCTGTACAGGTCATATTTATATGGCAAATACCTGTTTATACAGGTCATATTTATATGGCAAATAACTGTCTACACAGGCCATATTTATATGACAAATACCTGTCCATACAGGCCATATTTATATGACAAATACCTGTCCATATAGGACATATGTATATCAAATACCTTTCCATACAGTCCTTGTGTATATAACAAATACCTGTTTATACAGGTGACCTGTATATCACAAATACCTCTTTATACAAGTGACCTGTATATCACAAATACCTCTTTATACAGGTGACCTGTATATAACTAACACCTATCTATACAGAACATCTGTATATCACAAATACCTCTTTATACAGGTGACCTGTATATAACAAATACCTCTTTATACAGGTGACCTGTATATAATAACACCTATCTATACAGAACATCTGTATATCACAAATACCTGTTTATACAGGTGACCTGTATATCACAAATGCCTCTTTATACAGGTGACCTGTATATCACAAATGCCTCTTTATACAGGTGACCTGTATATCACAAATACCTCGTTATACAGGTGACCTGTATATCACAAATACCTCTTTATAGAAGTGACCTGTATATCACAAATACCTCTTTATATAGGTGACCTGTATATAACTAACACCTATCTATACAGAACATAGGTATATCACAAATATCACAAATACCTCTTTATACAGGTGACCTGTATATCACAAATACCTCTTTATACAGGTGACCTGTATATCACAAATACCTCTTTATACAGGTGACCTGTATATAATAACACCTATCTATACAGAACATCTGTATATCACAAACACCTGTTTATACAGGTGACCTGTATATCACAAATACCTCTTTTTTACAGGTGACCTGTATATCACAAATACCTCTTTATACAGGTGACCTGTATATCACAAATACCTCTTTATAGAAGTGACCTGTATATCACAAATACCTCTTTATACAGGTGACCTGTATATAACTAACACCTATCTATACAGAACATCTGTATATCACAAATACCTCTTTATACAGGTGACCTGTATATCACAAATACCTCTTTATACAGGTGACCTGTATATCACAAATACCTCTTTATACAGGTGACCTGTATATCACAAATACATCTTTATACAGGTGATCTGTATATAATAAATACCTGTTAACACAGGTCTTTAATTTCTAATAAAGTAAACCCCTAATCAAGGCCACTTTACTCTGTTCCCTATTGTGGCCTTTAGAGACAGGTTTTGACTGCATATCTAGTATACATTATGTCCCATCAAAAAAATTACTGATATGATTTTTTGCAATGTACACCTGCATAAGAGCTGTAAATCAGAGGCAAAATAAAACCAAAGCTGTAGAAGACATTGTCCATGAAGTTATAACGGTGATAGGGACAAATGTCTCAGATGTCTAAATATCTCTACAAGCCAAAAATGAAGCACATTTAGCAAATAATGATTTTGTAGTGAATCTAGCAGAAATTTCTTATGTGTTGTAAACTATCAGCCACAAAACAAGGGTCTACTTGATTAAAGAAAATTGAAAATTTACAACCATATAACAAGAAATAGTTCCCGAGATCCACTTTCACCCAGTGCTGGTCCATTAAAAGGAGCTATGATCATTTTATCCAATCAGATTAAGCCACTTCGGTCAAAATTCTGAATCTTGAATTCAGAAAAATTCCAATTTTTAACACATATTGTGTCCCAACCATTCCCCTAGTTTAACAAGCACTTATAAAGTCAGTGTCACTTAAAACATGTAATTTCCAAATCTGTATCATTCCCTACTTAGTATATCATACACTGACAAGGAATAGCTAACACAGATCTGACACATTCTACATTCCATAATACACTGACAAGGTGTAGCTAACACAGATCTGACACATTCTACACTCCATAATACACTGACAAGGAATAGCTAACACAGATCTGACACATTCTACACTCCATAATACACTGACAAGGAATAGCTAACACAGATCTGACACATTCTACATTCCATAATACACTGACAAGGAGTAGCTAACACAGATCTGACACATTCTACACTCCATAATACACTGACAAGGAATAGCTAACACAGATCTGACACATTCTACACTCCATAATACACTGACAAGGAATAGCTAACACAGATCTGACACATTCTACACTCCATAATACACTGACAAGGTGTAGTTAACACAGATCTGACACAATCTACACTCCATAATACACTGACAAGGAATAGCTAACACAGATCTGACACATTCTACACTCCATAATACACTGACAAGGAATAGCTAACACAGATCTGACACATTCTACACTCCATAATACACTGACAAGGAATAGCTAACACAGATCTGACACATTCTACACTCCATAATGACAAGGAATAGCTAACACAGATCTGACACATTCTACACTCCATAATACACTGACAAGGAATAGCTAACACAGATCTGACACATTCTACACTCCATAATACACTGACAAGGAGTAGCTAACACAGATCTGACACATTCTACACTCCATAATACACTGACAAGGAATAGCTAACACAGATCTGACACATTCTACACTCCATAATACACTGACAAGGAGAAGTTAACACAGATCTGACACATTCTACACTCCATAATACACTGACAAGGAATAGCTAACACAGATCTGACACATTCTACACTCCATAATACACTGACAAGGAGAAGTTAACACAGATCTGACACATTCTACACTCCATAATACACTGACAAGGTGTAGTTAACACAGATCTGACACATTCTACACTCCATAATACACTGACAAGGAGAAGTTAACACAGATCTGACACATTCTACACTCCATAATACACTGACAAGGTGTAGTTAACACAGATCTGACACAATCTACACTCCATAATACACTGACAAGGTGTAGTTAACACAGATCTGACACATTCTACACTCCATAATACACTGACAAGGTGTAGTTAACACAGATCTGACACAATCTACACTCCATAATACACTGACAAGGAGTAGCTAACACAGATCTGACACATTCTACACTCCATAATACACTGACAAGGAGTAGCTAACACAGATCTGACACAATCTACACTCCATAATACACTGACAAGGTGTAGTTAACACAGATCTGACACAATCTACACTCCATAATAAACTGACAAGGAGTAGTTAACACAGATCTGACACATTCTATACTCCATAATACACTGACAAGGTGTAGTTAACACAGATCTGACACATTCTACACTCCATAATACACTGACAAGGTGTAGTTAACACAGATCTGACACAATCTACACTCCATAATACACTGACAAGGAGTAGCTAACACAGATCTGACACATTCTACACTCCATAATACACTGACAAGGAGTAGCTAACACAGATCTGACACAATCTACACTCCATAATACACTGACAAGGTGTAGTTAACACAGATCTGACACAATCTACACTCCATAATACACTGACAAGGAGTAGTTAACACAGATCTGACACATTCTATACTCCATAATACACTGACAAGGTGTAGTTAACACAGATCTGTCACATTCTACACTCCATAAAACACTGACAATGTGTAGTTAACACAGATCTGAAACATTCTACGTTCCATAATACACTGACAAGGAGTAGCTAACACAGATCTGACACATTCTACACTCCATAATACACTGACAAGGAGTAGCTAACACAGATCTGACACAATCTACACTCCATAATACACTGACAAGGTGTAGTTAACACAGATCTGACACAATCTACACTCCATAATACACTGACAAGGAGTAGTTAACACAGATCTGACACATTCTATACTCCATAATACACTGACAAGGTGTAGTTAACACAGATCTGACACATTCTACACTCCATAATAAAAGTAGTTAACACAGATCTGACACATTCTACATTCCATAATACACTGACAAGGTGTAGTTAACACAGATCTGACACATTCTACACTCCATACTAAAAGTAGTTAACACAGATCTGACACATTCTACACTCCATAATACACTGACAAGGTGTAGTTAACACAGATCTGACACATTCTACACTCCATACTAAAAGTAGTTAACACAGATCTGACACAATCTACACTCCATAATACACTGACAAGGAGTAGCTAACACAGATCTGACACATTCTACACTCCATAATACACTGACAAGGAGTAGCTAACACAGATCTGACACAATCTACACTCCATAATACACTGACAAGGTGTAGTTAACACAGATCTGACACAATCTACACTCCATAATACACTGACAAGGAGTAGTTAACACAGATCTGACACATTCTATACTCCATAATACACTGACAAGGTGTAGTTAACACAGATCTGAAACATTCTACACTCCATAATACACTGACAAGGTGTAGTTAACACAGATCTGACACATTCTACACTCCATAATAAAAGTAGTTAACACAGATCTGACACAATCTACACTCCATAATACACTGACAAGGTGTAGTTTACACAGATCTGACACAATCTACACTCCATAATACACTGACAAGGTGTAGTTAACACAGATCTGACACAATCTACACTCCATAATACACTGACAAGGTGTAGTTAACACAGATCTGACACAATCTACACTCCATAATACACTGACAAGGTGTAGTTAACACAGATCTGATGCAATCTACACTCCATAATACACTGACAAGGTGTAGTTAACACAGATCTGACACATTCTACACTCCATAATGCACTGAAAAAGGGGTAGTTAACACAGATCTGACACATTCTACACTCCATAATAAAAGTAGTTAACACAGATCTGACACATTCTACACTCCATAATACACTGACAAGGTGTAGTTAACACAGATCTGACACATTCTACACTCCATAATACACTGACAAGGTGTAGTTAACACAGATCTGACACAATCTACACTCCATAATACACTGACAAGGAGTAGCTAACACAGATCTGACACATTCTACACTCCATAATACACTGACAAGGTGTAGTTTACACAGATCTGACACATTCTACACTCCATAATAAAAGTAGTTAACACAGATCTGACACATTCTACACTCCATAATACACTGACAAGGTGTAGTTAACACAGATCTGACACATTCTACACTCCATAATACACTGACAAGGAGTAGCTAACACAGATCTGACACATTCTACACTCCATAATAAAAGTAGTTAACACAGATCTGACACATTCTACACTCCATAATACACTGACAAGGTGTAGTTAACACAGATCTGACACATTCTACACTCCATAATGAAAGTAGTTAACACAGATCTGACACATTCTACACTCCATAATACACTGACAAGGTGTAGTTAACACAGATCTGACACATTCTACACTCCATAATACACTGACAAGGTGTAGTTAACACAGATCTGACACATTCTACACTCCATAATAAAAGTAGTTAACACAATCTGACACATTCTACACTCCATAATACACTGACAAGGTGTAGTTAACACAGATCTGACACATTCTACACTCCATAATACACTGACAAGGTGTAGTTAACACAGATCTGACACATTCTACACTCCATAATACACTGACAAGGTGTAGTTAACACAGATCTGACACATTCTACACTCCATAATAAAAGTAGTTAACACAGATCTGACACATTCTACACTCCATAATACACTGACAAGGTGTAGTTAACACAGATCTGACACATTCTACACTCCATAATACACTGACAAGGTGTAGTTAACACAGATCTGACACATTCTACACTCCATAATAAAAGTAGTTAACACAGATCTGACACATTCTACACTCCATAATACACTGACAAGGACCAAAAGAAAGAGAGACACGCCATAGTAAACAGAAGTATGATGATGCAGTAATGATGAAATTGGCAAAAAACATAATATATATTAAAGATTATTAAAGATTTCTTTCTTTAGTCAAAAGATATTGACAAGCATTTTACTTTATCACATTGATGAACTGATGACTTTCTAAGTACAGCTAATGTGTTCTATAGAAATATCAGATGTAAATGACATTGATATACATTTCAATACTGTTAAACAAAATGTGAGAGATAGCTAGTGCACTCAGTTGAACAAGTCATGAGAAATTTCTTACAAACACACAATATCTATCTAGCCTTACTTTTTCATTTAAACTTGCTAGGACAAAACTGTCATCCCAAGGATAACTAACACACAATGCAAGTACCTAGTCTGCCTAAACCTTAATGACATATCAATTTACAGATTAATCAACTGACAATGACATATAGACAGACAGAATTGCTGATTTGGTAAAGAGTTTGTGTGAGTGAGGGGAGATGGGGGAGATGGGAGGGGGTTATAAATATATTTCAAATCATTTGAAGTGTAATTGAAAGTAAATATATAGTATAGTTTAAAAATCACACAACATAGCTCATTACAATGAACATTGGACATGTTGCTGAAATCAACATAGTAAACACATTATATCCAGTTTAACAAGAAGCAAGAAGAGGTATTTAAATGCTCTCTAAGGCACTAACTTAGTTGTTGTAATGCAAAAAGCTACCACTGTTTTGTCCTGTTATCACACACAAGTAGGATGAAGGCTGCAGGGTACAAATTACAAGGAAGGCAACCGGGTAGGAAAAAAAACAAAAAGATGGAAGGACAGAAAGATGGAAGGACAGGAGGATAAGGAGAAAAATGAAGGAAAAAGGGAAAAAGAAAGGTCAGGTAGATGAAAAAAGACAGAAAAAAAGGTGAGTAAAAGTATAACAGGAAGAAGAAACAAGAGGCCCAATGGGCCTGCAGCACTCACCTGGAATATATATCAAGCCTCTCAGCCTTTTTGTTCATGAGAAGAAATCATTTTAATGTTTTACCAAATATGACCCCTGTGACCTTGAATATAAGTCAAGGTCATTTCTTTTTGCAAATTTTTTCAGACTTCTTCCCAGAAACATACAAGCCAAATATCAAAACATTTGGCCTATTATTGAGAAGAAGTTGTTTAAAGGAACAACAATGCGCCCTTTTGTCCAGCCGAACTAAAAAAAGGGAGTAGAGAAAGTCAGGTGGGAGGAAAAGGATGGAAAAGTGAAAGGACAAGAGAGTATAAGGATAGTTGGAGGCAAGAATGATGAAGTAAAAGGTCAGACAGAAGAAGGATAGAAATAAGAAAGGACAGGAGATTATAAGGCTGATATAAAAAAAAAAGTGAGAAAACACAGTAAAATGTAAGGACAATATCTGGGAAGAAAAACACAGCAAGATAGAACCAGGGAGGAAGGAAAGTAGGCCAGAGGGAGAAAAGGCATGACAGGAAGGTTTAAAGAAGATAGAAATGTAGAAATGAAGAATATGGATCTGTAGTAGACGAGTGAAGAACAGGAAAGTAAGGAGATAGTAGAAAGAAAATGGAGCAGTGAAAAAGAAGGCCAGGGGTATACAAGACTGTTAAATGAATGGGAAAGGAAGCAGGTGAAGAGAACAGAAGCAGGAAATATCAGCAGAAAGCAGAGTGTTATGAAACATGGTTTTGCATGACATTATAGACATTACACCACTCCATATCATTTCTGATATCATTAACTGTCAATTAAGTGATAAGTTGATTTGTTTATTCTATACTAGCAATTGAATAAAACAATTCACATGGTTAGATCTAATAGGAGTTAGTTATGTCAGAATTGTGAATACAGGACAGAACAGGGTTAAAGCTAAGATAAAACACTACATACAAGATATGAATTATATCTACCATTCATGTTCTGTTGTCTAGGCTCTAGTTCTGAAAGACAAACACAGTACACTTGTGATAACGCATACAGTAGCAAAACACATCAATTTCAACCTCTGTGGAAAAGGCGATCAGTTTGAACAGTAAACGGCAGTTGGTCAAACTTAACACAAAATACTAATGATATTTTCTACAGCGAGTCAAAACTGAACACAAAGTGTTGATGGCAACCAATCTAGCTAAAACATAGTCATACAAGGGTATTAAACACCTACACGTTTATGCATTAAAAAGGATTCAAACAGGTAATCTGGTGCAACAGCTGCAGAAATGTCAATACATTTTTATATAATACAGCTTGTCTACTACATAAGTACATATTACTTTTCAGAATAGGTGTTGTTTGTTTCTTGTGTAATATATAACTACAAGGGTGTCAGTCGCTGTGTACTCTATAAACCATAGATTCTATTTCCCATAGTATTGTAAACTCCTCGGTATCTCTATGTATATAGATCCTATATCATGTACCACATAGCAATGTAAGCTATATTATACATGTATAGACCATCTGCTATCCACTCATTTCCATATAGCATTGTATGTTCCTATACATGTAGAGATGTTTGCCATTGTCCCAGTCTAGGCTAGCTCATGGTATACAATTTTGCAGTTTTCCCAGCTCATTCTTGTTCATGGTTATTTAATTTTAAAGTTTAGGCTAGTTTGTGGGTTTACAATTTCACTGTTGTCCCAGTTAAAACCAGTTCATGGGTATTTAATTTCATGGTTATCCCATGTAACGTCAGTTTAGTAGTATTGAATTCCACAGTTGTTCCAGTTTAGGCTACTTCAGGAATAATTTAGCAGATGTCCCATTTAAGGTTGTCGTTTCAGTTTAGTCTAGTTAATTTCATACTATGTTTATTGATCTTGAAATAAGCAAATTAAATGAAGAATACCAACTGTACAACAATGTGAGCTATTCTGTACCTAGAAATGTACATACAGTCTGTCGGAAACATCCTATTAAATTTAAGCCCACTTGTGTATTGAATGATTTTACAGTGTTAAAATAAATAAACAAAAATTATACAAGAATTTATTTACTTTCAAGAAATGATATACAGGTAAAAAAATATGTAAGAAGTTATTTTTAAGCTGATACAGGATTTGAAAAAGCACAGTAAAGTAAATGAAATCACTTAAAAAATACAAAGAAAATTTTTGAAAATTGCAAATATAAATATGATGATGATGATGAAAGCTTGATCCCAAAGCTATGACTGAACCCATCAATGATACCAAGTACCTCACAAACCTTGAAGGAGCCCTATATGCACCATGCTAGACCCCATAAAACACATTACCTATTTAAGTACGCATGGTCATCATTTTCTCTGTAAGGGAGATACAGGATATTTAACAATGCCATCAACAATGACATTTATATTTATTCACTGTGAATTTGGTATCTTTCAGGAATGCTCAGCACGAGAGTAGATACAATATTATCAGTAACACGAGTGAAATATATTTGTTCCTGAAATTATTTTGCTATTAAAATTTTTTTATTTTCAATTATTGATATATTTTTTGTATTTTATTTTGTTTGGGATTTATTGTTGTTGGTATATAAGGCTTTTTAATTGGTCAATTCTATACCATTGAAAGGGTTTTCTAATTTCATTTATGGAATTCTTCAAATCATTATTTCAAGTAACAACAAAAGAGCTACTAAGGTATTTTTCATTGCAGCAAAAAAAAACCACTTATATCCATCTAATATTTCTCAATATTTCACTGTTGAAAATTTTAAAGAATTCTTTTCTCTCATTTCAAGCGATCATAAACTTTGAAAAACATTTTTTTAATCACAAGTAAACTAAAGTTCTTGCACATATTGGACATGAATAAATTAGAGCCAAAAGCAGTACACGTTCCTATAGGAATACAATGCAAAGCACACATATCAAATCAGTGTCACATCTTACAGACAGCTTTTCATTCAGTATTATCAATATTATAATGTAGCCGACATCACAAACGCTAGCAGTGACATACTATATATACCAAATGTCATTCCCATGTACATTTAAATTAGTAAATCAGGACATCCAAACAATAATGTTTATTGTATAATGCTTCAGCCATGATTACTACTAGATCCTCTTAACCTAAGGGCTCTGTATTAAAGAAAACTGCAGTACCTGAACTTAATTTGATGCTGGACATACAAAACCGTTACCTACAACCATGTACTTATATACTCCTGTCCTCTTGACATTTGACTTAGTGACCCTGTGAGTTTACCTGTAGAGAGTTCATCACACCATTGGCTAATGTCGAGAGTTTGCCGGCCACCTTAGTTACTCCTTGTTTCACACCATCCTTGATGTCCTGAAAGTCTGGCCCAGAATTGTTGTAGTTCTGTGAGCGTTTACTTGATGATTCCCCGTAAAAATCTGCACTTGATATACTGGAGCTTCCCTCAAATCTAGACATATTCTGTTTCATTGAAAACTGTAATGAGAAAAATTATATAATTAATGTTTCAGTTTTAAGCATTTGTAATAGAACTTACTGTCCAAGAAAGCTGCATGATCCCAAGATGAGATATAAAAATACAAAATATTTAACACATAACATTATCTCATTCTCAAGGCATCATCCTTTCATCAAACATAAATTTAAGCAGTTAAACATTAAATAATGTGTATCAGTTATATACGTAATTCTATATTGTTTTTTATTTCTCTATCACTTTTCTCCTTCAGTCTTTACATCAAGACATTAATTTTTTGTTGTTTGAGCATGAAAACAGCTTTCTGAGTCAACAATTTTTTAAATTTTTTCTTGATCAAACAAGAGATCCTAGAGGGATCTTTGTGCCCATTATTGTTTTATCTTTATTTGCTCTTTGAAAGTTGGATCCTTTTCCTTCTTTTATCTTTTCATCTCTGTATTTGCTCTAAATGATAAGAAATTTTAACAATCATTTGTAAAAATAGTGATGATAATCTTTACCAGCCAAATCATATAGAGGTCACCTGGAAACCATTTTGTTTCGTCTGATCAGACCCAAAATCAAACGGGCAAAAGAAGAGACCAAACGGAACTTAAACTTATGTATGAAATTTGAGAGAGATGCATTCGATACTTCTTAAGAAATAAGCATAACAATCTTTACTAGGCGAAATACAAGATGGCTGCCTGGCAGGCATCTTGTTTTTCTGATCAGTCTCACAATAGACACAACTAGGGACTAAGGGGAACCTACATATGAAATTTTAGAAAGATCCATCCAGTACTTCTCAAGAAATAGCAATAACAATCTTTCAAAATAAAAATCCAAGATGACACCTACATAGGAAATTTTGACAGATCCATCCAGCACTTCTTAAGAAATAGCGATCACCAATTTCCAAGTTAAATTCAAAGATGGCCACCTGTCAGCCATTTTGCTTTCCTCATCAGTCCCGAAATTAGATGGACAGAACTAGACACCAAACGAAACCTACATATAAAATTTGGGCGAGATCCATTGAGCACTTTTTAAGAAATTGTGATAATAAACTTTATTGAAAAAATCCAAGATGGCACCTGTCGGCCATTAGTTTTTTCTGATCAATCCCAAAATTACATGGACACAACTAGGGACCAAGGGGAACCTACATATAAAATTTGAGAAAGATCCATCCAGTACTTCTCAAGAAATAGATATAACAAAAACTGTTGACAGATGGATGGACCACAGATGTAGGGCGATTTGAATAGCCCACCATCTGATAATGGCACACTAAAAAAACCCAATAAATAAAACATCTAGCTCTGCCCACATGATGTTAATTGGATGAGTTGATGGCACCATGCCACTTTGCATAGGGTCTGCTTGAATTGTGGGCATTCATTCAGTTTGCAAATATAGGTTTTTCTTTCAAATTATCAAATAACAGGTACCTGGTAACTCCAAATAACTCTCAAAATTTCCAACTTCAGATATACTCAAACCCTTAGACAAACAATAAACAGCAATACTTATATGCGACATTCCACCATCCTAACAGGAACCTGGTAGCTGTATTTTGTAATACACATGAAATACATCACAGACAGTATGTGATGCAAGGACAGACAACTAATGGTTGGTAAACCAACTCTAAAATACCCTTCATTAGTACACGTAGGAGGCTAACTTTACTGCAAAGTTATAAATATATCGCACAGCTTCAAAAAGTTGCTTTCGAAAATACTTAGCTTTTTTTTTCAGATGAGTTTTTCTGGATTTTTTATCTTTTTGTTTGATTTTCAGAAACCTTTGCAGAAGCACACTCTCATCCTCACACAAGTGGTAGGTATAACAAAAAGTCAGATGTTATTATTTTGTTGAAACTTACATCCATGTCCTTGTTACCAAAAAACTGGTCAGATGATATAGACTTGGCACCTGCAAATTTTTTCTGGGCCTCATCAGAGATTTTAGAGGGTGTGTTGTAGTCGTAAGCCTTTCTACTGCGACTAGGTCTGCAAAGCAACACAAACCAAGGCACTTAAACAGCAACAGAAAAAATCTTACTGGGCAATATGTTGGACCTTTCTTTTCAATTATTACTGACAAGTTGTGTCAGGCCTGTGGTTAGCCTATCTTTTTTATAGAGAGGTTATGCTACCCCCTCCCTTCCCCTGGGTTTATTGGGGGATCAATACAATATTTGGAGGCCAGTTTAGACAGGTTATAGGTTATATCATATCTATCATTAACACATAGAACAGTTGGCATGTTGGTGATTCAGGATAACACTGTCATCCTGATGCATGAGATTTTCACAAGAGGGAGTTGACTTTTTACGTTTGATTCTGTCATCACTTAGTAGTTGTTTCTGAATGTAAGTTCTGTCTAAGGTTATATGATCCCTGACAGTGAGAACATTTCAGTCTTTTACTGGTCCAATCATTCTTGGTATCTATTTTTGTGTTATACTGGCTAAACCAATCCTGTGACAAAACACTAGATATACAAAATCAATCAATAACCTCCATTTGTATTGATCTTTTCTTTCTTTTCCCTTTTTTTAAAAATTAATCAGGCATTAGTAATGTTTACATAATGAATAAGATATTAGGATTTTATTGTAATGGTTGGAGTTTTATATGGGGCTACAACGAGACTTCAATACTAAGTTAAGATATCTCAGCGACAGAAACAGATAAAACTGATCAATATCTGGAGTTTATCAATGTCATTCTTCTTAACTCATGCATTGAAAAACATGTATATCACAAAAAAAATAAATATCAATGCGAGTACTAGTGGTGTATAGTTGTGGCTACTTCACCCGATCACCTCCTTAGGACCAAGCCTTGGTTATAACTAATACCATTCACAGTTAAAAACCAATTACTTAATTATAAAATATCTGACAAACTGAAAAAAGTGTATAGTCCTAGCTAAAGGAGGAACTATTCAGGACAAAAGTGGTTTTTTACTTTTTTTTTCTTTATGTATAAAGTCATAACTACATAGGAAAAGTCAAAACAAATGTACAAACTACTTTCCATGATAATTAAATGTGAGTAGTTTCATTGATGGAAATTAGACAATATTTTATGAAAAGGTGTATGGACAGTTTTCATGAAAAGTTGACATAAAAAGTGTGAAACTAATGAAAGAATTATTAAATTATAAAAAGCATTATTATATAAATTGTGCATAATCCTGTTCAGATACACAGGCTCCAGATGTCTTATTATTACTGTACATCATCCTAAGTTAAGTACTGTATTGCTATTTTCCTTTAAGATATCTAACTTACCTGACCTCTGCATCACAACAAGTTTGTGGCAATTTACTTTTGCAAAACATACCACACTCACACTTTAAAGTCTACACAACAGCAATTGATGTTTATCACCCCTCTATTACTTTTGTGAATTTTCTATTACACATGAATGTAATGTTCTTTAAACAACCACATCTAAAAGCCTGTTGTCTTTTACGTTTTTTTTTTTTAAATATTCCAAATATCCTTGGACAGAACTGCTTCTCGGAAAAGATGCTAAGGAATCATACAGGATTATACGGATTATAAATCAAAACCCACTGCTTGCCATCATGATTTTACAAAATTGTAGTTGTTAAAATTGATCAAAAAAGTCTATTCAATATCCTAAACAGCTGATCACAATATTATGTGCATAAAAATTAGAAAATATTCATGATATTTCGTGGTCTTGTGTAAAATCACCATGATCAAGCATATTTAAAGAAGTTTTTTTGAAGTTTGTGTCTCAACAAGGACTACATGAACCAACACATGCCATAACCATAATAAAGCAGGTGACTATATACTCCTACAGTGTTCAGCAGATACTGAGTCAGGTTCAAAGGTCAGAGTATAAGTAGGGTACAAACTAACACCAGGGTTCATATACTGATCACATCTTATGCGTCAATTAAAAAACCAGTAATTTCTGGGATAAACTAATTAAGATCTAAAAACATGTCTACAGCTAATGGGATAAGCATATGATTTGGTGACCACAGTATCAATAAAGCTATAGGACCCTGACCTTTGACCCTGACCCAAAATGTGACATGGAAGCCATGACAATTACCCCTCATCTACATCACCCTGACTCTCATCCTCCTCGACCTCTTGGCTTGGTAAAAGAATTTACACATCACAATCACATCTGGGTAAAGTTTATTTTGTTTGTTTGATATTTATAAACAAAATGAAAAACAAAATATACACATTGATTGTGAGCCACAATAAAGAATGCTTAGAGTCAACTGCAAACCACTGTTGTAAATCTCTTAAGAAAATTTTTTTCCCAAAACATCCAGCAAAAAATTTAATGGCATTATCTACAAATTGTTAAAATATCAAAGAAAAAATTACCCCTTCCAATGCTGCTTCTTATTACTTGTCTAGTTATAAATTTCGACATTTAAAAAATAAAAGATAAATGGCTTAAAAAAGATATAAACTCTGAGGTAATGCACTCGTAAAAATTCAATAAAATGAACATATCAGATATAGGATTATCAGAGACAAGGGACAGATAGACAAGTGACCTGTCCTACCTGTCATCATCCCGCGAAGATGACAATGTTTCAGAAAAGCTTTGCTGTTTAGATTCAAATCGATCTATATCCCAGCTACCAGACTTGTTGCTACTGCCCCAGCTACTGAAGGAATCCTTCTCTTCACCAAATGGACTGTCATATCTGTCAAAACACAGTATACCATGAAAATTATCACAAATTTTGGATTCATTTTCTTTGAAGACTGATGTCATATATACTAGGTAAAGGAATAAGACAGAGTATTTTATTTGATCTATTACAGAAATGAGACAATTTCTTTTATTTTCTTATAACATTTTAAAAAATGTATGCTTACTTTGAAGACGATGATGAAAATCCCATGGAATCCAATTCATCATCAAAGAAATTCTTGGATCGGGCTGGTTTCCTATCGAAGCGGTCAGCACCATTTGAATTGCTTGAAGACTTATTTGGTTGAGACTGTTCAATAGTCTGCATGTCTGATATAGCAGAATGACTGAACTCTCTGGAAATTAAACATCAGAAATACACTCAATAGTCTCACATTTGTGCAACATTTTTATCATTGTGTTTACTATATTAAAGGCGTCATGCTTCCACAGATTAAAAATTAGAGAAAACCCACTTTATCACAATATGTAGGTACAAAAGGCAACTTTTAAGGAATGGGAGCTGTTTATACAATGAGACATCATTCTGTTTAACTTTATAGTAGACTGTAATTTCTTTTTCAGTTGGAATTTGCCAATCATTTTTATCTGATTTAATAATTGTTTGGGACTAAATGTAAAGGACATATAAACTGTAATCCACAAAATTATCAAATCTGTCATGAAATAAACAATGCATAAATTGTCAACAATTGAGAAATAATGATCTACAACAGTAGTAGTCAATAGTGAACTTAATGCCTTTGCAGTTTGTTATACTTACCTATTTCCGACAAAGCCCATACCGAGCCGCTCATACTGTGCAGCCTTCTTAGGGTCAGTCACCTTCAACTTTTCTTCCTCTTTTTTCCTCTGTAAGCTCATATCTTTGTATGCTAATCTCATGGAAGCCCTGCAGAACAACAGCATTAGAATTTACGATCATAACCATTATCTAAAAAGCTTGTTTTGAAAAGACATTTTAGAAAATAATCAACAATGAACTGTACATTACAATAAATGGTGTATGCTTTGTTTCTTTTTACCATGACCCATGGAACACCAAACTGTGGCTTGTCAATATTGTCATGATAAATGTCACCATCTTAAATTTATGGGAACACATTTCTGATGAAAGCTTAAGATGCTAAAATAACCGTTTTTGAACTTCAAGTTTCATGACATGAAATCTGAATTAGGCCTTATTGAAAACGGAGAATTATCACATGTGTCCCAAAAAGCTTCATCTTCCCCGATATCATAATCATTTTTCTTAAATGATTTGTTCTGGGTAAATTACATATCATATAGAATGAAGATTGAAAATCTAATTGGTCATAATATCAGAATGTTGACTTTTTAATCTTTTTTAAATCACTTATTGCTAGAATTATTGCGAACGATAAAATGTGCAGCAAAATGTACCGAAACTGGATTTTCCTTATTCTGTGTTTCATGACATCTGATTGGACATTAAATATAACCACTAACATAACAGCCAATGAAACTTGGCATTTCAAAGGTGAACAAATCACACTCTGTTGGATATTTTTGTCAGCAATCTTGAGAAGCTTTCTTCAGAACACATTTTATTGAAGTTGCAAAGATACACACTATACATAAACATCAACTTTACAATGATGCCCTATTATGAAGCCTATATAGTAATGGATGAATAAATGATACGACAATACATCAGTCGATGGTAGTGTCATGTACAAATCTGACCATGTGTTAACTGTGAATATGACATGATTATACACAATAACTTATGATACCACATTAGATATATTTCAAAGAATAAACAAACAAAAGTTAAGAGAAATTTCCGTTCTAATGGGGGGAAAAAAATCAAATGACAAATTTCTAGTCTTCCAACAATTTCTGTTAGAAACAAGTCAGTTTGACGCATCAAAAAATTAACTTCAGGGTTTAGACGTCAGAAAAAATGTATCAACTGTTAACGTCCCATTCTGCTAATTATCATATATTCAAGTGACAAATGGAACATGATGTTAACCAGGTTTTACTGTAACAGGTTGTCATAATATCCCCTCTCCAACATCAGTAACTGGTTGTGAATAAGATTTCCTTACCCCTACACAATTTCTAACAACAATTTGTCCCACTTGTTGGCACTAATCTCTTCAAGTAATCTGGACTTCAGTGTCTACCTCTCTACTCCATACACAACCCTAACACCAGTAGCTGGTCACCACCAACATCTCCCTATGTGCTATATATTGAATTCTTACATCTGTTTTTCTTGTTCCTCCTTTGTGCGAGCCTCCACCAATGCCTGATTGGCTGCTAGTGTTTCTCTTTCCTGGTCCAACTGCTGTGCACGACTCTCTATCTCATTGAAGTTGGCTTTCACTCTCTGGGCTCCCATACCACTCTTCTGTTTAAAACAATATGAAAATTGATGTAAATAAGTAGCATTAAAATACTTGCTACCAGAAATACACACTGGTACACTCAAAACTTTTTTACCAAAAATATTTTTATGCCAGTAACCTGACTTACCCCATGATAAGCTTGCACATAATATACTGCTGGTAAGTAGAATCACCATCAAATACTTTGTCAACATTCTGTACTAAGCCCATTTGTTGATTGTGAGAGGTTATATCGTAATATGTCAGCTCCCCTGGGCTTATCGTGGGAAAGCATAGGGCAGTTACAGACATGTATATACAACTCTGAGCTTTCCAAGGAAATGAGTGTGATATGAGCACTGTAACATTTCTTAACTGTTTATGCCTAGTAATCTCAACTTTACATATTACACATACTGATATACTTTGCATACAGAGGTCTAAATTTAATATAAAAGAAGTTGATTTCAAAATATGATTAAAAAGGCAGCCCATTGTATACATACCCCCTTACGACCCCCTGCAGGCTTCTTGGCACCAATGATTGACTTTCTGGGCTCTGCATGAGCTGCTGCCTGTGTTGGGGACATGCTCAAGGCTGCCTCCACACTGGGGCCTTCTGATGGGTCTGAAACATAACAGATGATACATATATAACTAACATACACTTACATATCATACCAATCTCTCTTATTATATAAGAATCTCTCAAATCTATAAAAAAAAATTTCAATAACATTGATTCCTGAATAAGACTGCAAAATAAATGGTACACAATTTTTATATCTGATCCAGTTTTCTTAGAGCTATTCCAGTAAAACTTCTACTTAATGCCAAGATTCCAAATAAATCACTCCATGGCTTGGTCCCAAACTTATTATTTTTAAGCAAATGACTGAATAAAGTTTAAGGATGATACCCCTAAAGAAATCAAGGGGTTCTTGGGCAGGATAAATGTTTTATTTGAATAGCCCTCAGATAGCAAATCATTTAGATGTATAATATACATGTTCCATACAGGACATTTTCTGATTGATGCAGTCAATATACTTTATCAAAGAAATTTATCATCATGTTAAAGTATCATGTTATCAGAGGCACATGCTTTAACAGGATTCAAGGAACTCATTTTTATGTGATGTCTTCACTTGCTTCATTTACATTAAAATTGTTTATACCTATTTCCTTGTTTAGATTGCCATTCTTAATGGGCTTGGGCGCTGTGGAGGAAAAGAGCTTGGCACTATCACTAATGGGTGCTGGGGCAGGTGTCGTATCAAATGATTCTGTGTGCTCATCAAAGAAGTCAACTTCCTTACTGACAGGGGAGGTTGTGTCATGGCTGTCTATATGGAGCTGTAATGGATGGTAAATACATTGTGAATAAACAGATGTATTTCAATGTAAAGATAAAGGAAAGCATAACACACTGGCTTTACAAAAACAGGGGAGATAAGCAGATAGAACAGACACAAAGAGATATATACTGGTAACAAATTATAATACATATTTTTTTATAACACATACCTGTCAATCAAGAGAATGCACACAACACAAACAGAATAAAGATGTTCAGTATATCTATCAACATATTTTACGCACAGTCAGGAAATATAGTGATAAGTAGAATTAAGTCTGTGAATTCACACTGGTAATTTCTAATGTAGCAAATACTAGTGACCGTTGCAATGCTTCAATCTGAAAACAGTGAGTTCAATAGTTCCACAGTCTGTTTTCCATCTTTATGCAATATTTACCATTGTATTCAATCACTATGTGCTCATCATAGATATCACAATTTGCAAATTTTGGACTTTCTGATGAGTAAACAATTATATGAAATGTATTTTAATGATTTAAGTGAAAAGGTTTTGTTAGTAGAACCAGCAAACTTGCTGTATTAGGTGACATGCCAAATAACTCTTAAAAAAGCTTGCGCCAAAACTATACAACCTCAAATACAAGTACCAAAGGAAGCTGGTTACAGCACACATATATATATATATACATATCCCTCTTAATACAGCTAGGAGTTTCCTTTAAGGACTAAGAAAAATTAGCTGCTATCAACAAAGTTTGCCTAGTGGCTAAGTAGTTAATTGTATAAATACCACTGACAAACTAAGATACAACCATTGGGTTTTCTTACCCATTTCTTTTCATTACCATTTTAGCTATCATTATTGTCGGTATTCCAATTATTCTGTTAAAAACATTACATGCAATATGTTGACAATTTTTTTCAAACTTAACACTTTTGATACTTAATTTTTTTCATAATTCATCGTTAAAATTATACCCTTCCATGAAAATTTCAAAATCTAAACTTAAACTACATCTTTAATACTGTGTCATAGACTTCAAAATGGGTCTGTAGTCTTCCACAAGAGCAAGGTACCATATCATCTAAATATGATATTCACCGTTGGGATAAGCACCAGGTTTTATCGACAAATAACTATAAATTTATACATAGGGTGACTATACCAAGTCCATACAAAAAAATGGTAACAAAACCCCATATATTACAATACTATTACATGTATTTAGATTTGTTAACCTTAAAAAATTAAATAGCATGTGTAAGATTTTTGAAATATATTTTACACTTATCTTCAACCATTTCAACATTGTATAAGGAAATATTAAATCTTTGATTTCACAGCATTTATGTTCAGTTTTCAAGCCAATACTGACTATTAATACATGTACATGCAGATCAATTTCAAATCAATTTCTCCCATTCTCAAATAAATATTCAGAAAAATAGAAAGAAATCCCACTTGCTATTAATTCAATGTCCAGAGATAACAAATCTAATGGTAGTCAGTGATAAATATTAAGAAAGATGTAAAAAAGTAAAGAAGCTTTAGATTATCAAAAGCACAACAGGGTTTCTTTAAAACCAGACCTGTTTGCAACATGTAAAATAAATTGGTTTAAAGTTTAACTTACAACACTTTCTCTCTAATTACTTAACTTTGGTTTCTTTTTTCAAATTTGTTCATCATCGCTTCAACATCAATTTAATGTTGATTTGAATATATCTAGTTGTTTATATTACAACATATCATCCATCTAGAGTCTTTTAAAGACATCTTGTCAAGATTTTATACAAATATTTTGAATGCTACGTTAAGCTTTTAGTGCATTATTTTTTCAAAAAACTAAACATTGTAACATTTGTATAATATCATCCCTGTATGTCACTTATAACCCTAAACCACTCCAATGATCCAGTCTTTTATGAATCATCTTAAACACATATTTTATCAAATATGTCCATGGGTACAAATTCTGATTTCAAATCAATTGTCAGGATCAACACTGGAAACTAAATAGAAACAGCAACTGTACAATAAGATCAGTGAACATCAAGTAACAAAGTGCAAACAAGCCTGTGCCTGTCATACGACCTCTGACCTTGTTTCCTCGATCACCGGAGTCAAGAGTCAGCTGAACAGACAAAAGGAAGTCACAATATTACAAATGTTTACTTATACCCAATAACAGTTTTATTTTTTTAAGTATAAGTATAGTTAATAACACAGTCATTACAGCCCGCTTTTCTTACTATATGTATATACTGTATATATTTCAATGGCTGTTTATAAGCCTGTCTTGTGAATAAATTCAATTTTGGATATGAACAGACAGATGTGTTCAACTTGGGGAGACTTTTAATAAAATTAGACAGGTTACATTGTTTATAATATAAATATACTCAGACAAATTACAACACAAAAAGATATATTCAGCATTACCATTAATTAAATCCACAATCTTACAGAAGAGAATTTGTGTACCTTTGTGCCGTGTAATCTGTTGGCATTATTGGCGAGGGATGTAAGTTTCTCCTTGTACATCATTGCTGCCCTGCTATGATATTTCTGCTGGGAATCAGATGTTGTACATCCATGCTGTCTGAAAAATGCTACCTGCAACAAGAAAATTACATCATTTAAAGTATGTCATTCTTAGCTTCTGTAATATAAGCATTATAAAAGGAGGCCCATGTAAAAATTCAGTTACAGCAAAGAGTTTGTAATTCATTTCATAAACAAGACAAATATAGCCATCAGTAGTTGAGATTGGGGATTTCTCACTTCTCATTTTCACAGATAGTTATTCAAGAATCTTACAGCATTGGCATTGCCTCCGACTTGCATGGCTCTAAGCTGCAGCCATGTCCAACTGGTGTCCAGCTGGGTGGACCTGATAAAGGTGACATGGACACCCAATGACCGATGGGTGGCGGAGCAGTCTATACACAGAAACACACCATACGTAACACTGGCCCATGTTGGGTTGTTGCTACCACAGTCAAAGCATTGCTGAAACAGAATTAAAATTGATATATTATACCTGGTAAACAGGAATATCAAATAATGACATGAAATTTTTTAAAAAGATCATCACAGAGTTAAAAGATCATTTGAAGTGCATAGAGCTGTGTCAGTTACTACTTGTAAATTAGGGTGACTGTATACCATGCAACATAGATCAATGAAACAAATAATAAACCACATCATGATATCCAAATTACTAATAACAACCCAACCTGTAACATCAGTCAATATTCATAATAGGAAATTTTCAAAAGAATTCATGTGACAATCTACGCAATATATTTAGATGAAGTGTACAGTGTACAACTGGCAATATATGCTATATGGTGGACTGTTTAAAAGTGTTATCATGAAAATTATACAGGGTTTTCCATAGGAGCCGGTCGCCGGCCAATTTGACCGGCTACTTTGATTATTTGGCCGTCTACACCAATCCACTTCCGTAATAATGTTCCGTACATGACTACACGTACACGGCAGGCCAGCCTCCTACTTTCACTACACAGCCTACTACTAACAAAATTATGGAAAACCCTGATTATATTAATAGAATGGAGAAAAACAAGTTACACTTTTATATTTTCAGTCACTACATTACTCCCAAACTCCTGTAGCAACAGGTAGAATAATGGTTAAATTTATCTGAAGTATTGAAGAATTTGAGTAAAATTAATTATGCTTGACAGACGTAAAAAAATTGGTTATTACCCCTTTCTCAAAAATATTGAATTCTACTGATGAACTTTTGGTTCCAATATATTTATTATCTTCGTAATCCCCCCCCCCCCCCTGTTAACCTTCAGATTTAGAAATACAACTGACAAATTGCAAATTGCAACATGAATCTAAAAAAAGTATATAAAGAGCTATTCGCATCTTATGTGTTCAGTATTGAAATTATATTAATAATATTTTCTGAACAAGTGGCCTGATATGATACCGGGCAAATAGGAAGGGGGGGATGGATGTTAAGGTAGCGGTTGTTTACGACAGCTCATGAGACAGGGGCAGCTGGTAGATAAAATCGAACTAGTAGAAATCAAACATTAGGCATGGAATGAAAAGAAAAGTACAAACATTTTATTTGAAAGGAAAACAACTTTGTAATATATTCTTAGCTGTCAACTTTTGACACATGTTATGAAAAGTTAGGAAATTACCAACACGACATATGCGGTAAATAAAGAGTTAGTTTAAACATTTTCTTTCATTTATTTTATCCTAATGAGACCTCTAATTAATTAATAAGGTCCATGTCTTTGTTCACAAAAAACAAATTTACCTTATTTGTAGGTATAGATCGCAATCTTTTGAAAATTGTTTGGATATCTGACTTCGACGGATGATCTGCCATTTTGGTGACGTTTTCTTATGAGTCACATGATCGCCCAAATATCAGGAACGGGGTGGATGTTATGCTGTCATTTCATTGGTCAGTATTCGATAAGTAACTACCATAAACAACATGGCGGCATTTTGCATTTATGGAAAAGTCACAACACTACTTGATGGGTTGGTAGACGCCATATATATTTGTAATCGTTCGCATTCTTTGAAAAGATGCAAAAATATGTTTCATATTTTAACTTTCAACAGATGTATGGATTTTAAAAATAGCATTGATAGATAAGGTTACTTTTAAGCAAATATACAGCTGTAGGATGTAAGTCTTAGTTTAAGGTCCTCTATTAATAACGCTTATCATCATAAAGGCTTATGCCAGTGAAGCAACAGGAACGTGTTATTCATGATTGCCAAAAATCCAAGAAAAGACTTTGGCAGTATCTTAATTTGAAATTAAGAACATATTTTTGTTCTGATACAATGAAGGTTAAATGAGAGAATTCAGTTATAACCAGCTGTTAAAGTTCTATTCTGATTGAATAGCTCCAATGTTCATCTACATAGTTGAATATGGCAGATTTCCCCAACCTATTAAAATTGTAAAGAGCATGCCTGATAGAGTGTGGCCATCCATAGATGGAGGTCCTGTTTCGAATCCCAATCATTTTGTCTACTACAACATGTTCATGTATCTGAATGTAAACAACTGCGAGGCATAATTTCCAGATGTACTTTGAGGCTACTTGATTGGCCCAGATGTCTGACACCCCCCTTTGGATTTACAACCTGAATACATAGAAAAATACTGATAGCTCTCTAGCAGACAAGTTGATTATATTAAAATATTAGCGACAAGGTCATGCATTTTGAAAATGATTGCGTAAATATCCAGATGAATAACACTGACCCTCTTGCATAACTTTGATGCAGGCCTAGGTGTAACTATTAATTGACCAAAGAAAAGCTAGATGGTCCAAATTTGGTAAATGTTTTTTTGTTACTTTCCAGTCAAATTTTATATATTGTTGTTGAACTTGATTGCTGCTTCATTGACATTTCCTCACGTGAGCTTTCTAACTGCAAACAACAGTAAATTGATCTTACTATTTTTGTAGATCTTAGATACAACATAATTGTATTTGTAGTTAAGAACACAATATTCAGGGAAAAACCCCAAAAAATCAAAAAGAGAAAAATACAATATGTTTGCAACCCAAAGTTCACTTGAATTACAAATGTTATTGTAGATATATTTGTATGGGGAGATGCTATGTTTTTTTAGTTTTCTTTTTGGTTGTAGGTGTGTACAATGTCTGGTATGTAACCTGTCTACCTCAATGGAAGGTATAGAGATGTTACCTGGAAACCTCAAGGACAAATGTCTCTATTTAATGTCAAAAAGAGGCTTTGTCTCTGACACAAATATATCAAAGGTTTGTTGTATAGAATTACTAGACTTCTAGAACTTCAATTAAAAATTAACTCTTCCAGTGACCTTGTAAATTGTAATAATTCATGGTCGTTTCATGGAATTTTCCAACATAAATATCAAAATTTTATTCTGGAATGAAAAGTGACATGGCTGCTAATTCTTAGAATCTGATCAACAACATGGTGATACATTATTTGATTGTAACGTTTTGGATCCACATTTTACTATTGTACTGTACTATGCTTGTTTGAATACAACTTTTATGCAGGTTTTACACGAGAAGTTGAAAGTGCTAGACCTGAGTGAATGTGATGTTACAGATACTGGATTGCAACATCTTTCAAAATGTCCACAATTAAAGAAATTAGATCTCAACTCGGCAAAAGTGTCCCGCAGTAATATATCAACAGAAGGTATATCAAACATTTTTGTTCTTTTTTTTTCTTAATCTTTGCTTATGCCATATTTGTGTACAAATATCTGAAATATGCTGAACTAACTGCACAAAGAAGATATGAAGATGTTATCTCTGTTTCCAGTCATCTTCAAAAACTCATTATGTTATAAGAAACTGTGATTTTTATGAAAATGAAATAATGCTGGAAGATTGTTGTAATTTTGGAAATCAGAATATTGGAGAAGTATTTTATGAAATATCTTTCACACAAGACAACTGTAATTCAGTTGCTCTGATTACTTTCGTAGATAATGGATTGTAAATATTTTAAAATCACTTGCTTAATAACAAAATGTTAACATACATGTATACTAGTATATACTTTTGTTGTAGTGGTGTTATGGCTAAGCATTTGTAGAATTTCTTGACTAGGCAAATTAGTGAAGTAGAGTCCCGAACAGGGCTTAGGTAAAAGATTGTCGTCCTTCATCAGTTGCATTACAATGTCTAAGTATTAATAAATAAACACAACACATCATTTACATATTTAACCCATTTAGATATTTGTTGATACAGAGGTTTCACATTTGAATTTATCTGTTGTAATTGTAACACATTTAACATGTTTATGATCTGTATACAGGACTTGTATGACGTTTTTGTGTGACCCGAGTACGTCAGACAAATAAACTGTAAAGCATACATATCATCTTCACGAGCCGAGGGGGTTCAATGAAATACTGTTATCATGAGTGATTGTGAGCCAAAGACGTTTGAGAATACATATGTATATACTAAGGCGTTAACAAAATATAAGATGAAGGTTGAATCAGCCTATTGTTTTAGTTATGTTTTGTGTACTGGCTGCTACATGAAACTTAAGGCCTTTATGTATATATATCTGATAGTTGGCCAGTTCTGAAATAATGGATTGCAGCATTACAGACGGATAATCCTGTGTACAGTTCTTAAAATTCATTTCTACTAAACAATAGTAAGAAAGCATTTCTAAATACATATGTAGTTTTAATTATGACGTTTGAATTCATGTCCCTTTGAATTTGCATAAACATAAATATCTTGTGACAATGATATATGTATCATGGACACCATTTTGATATTGAAAATATTGTGAAAACCATCAGCTAATAATGAAGTTTGTACAATTTTATTGAACTCTTGCTGATATCATCAGATAACTTACTTGCAGGTATCATAAATGTAGCACATACCTGTACACAGCTACAGACAGTTTACCTGCGCAGGTGTATCAATCTGACAGATGAGGCAGTTATAGCCCTTTCCACTTCCTGTCCACAACTCCGACTGCTCAATATTGGAGGATGTCACCTACTCACCGACAAGTCACTGCTGGCTCTCGGACAAAACTCACACTACCTCAAAAGTGTCAACTTCTCCAAGACAAAGGTAAAGCACCATACTTGTGGTAAACTTACAGATTCATCTAATTATTAAACTTGATTAATAAATGGATATTAATGAATTAATTAATTCTTCTACACTAGATTTGTGTAAATAATTACAATAGGTGTTTAGGTGTAAATTTTGTATCTGATTTTATTGTTAACTGATGGGGCAGATTTTGTAAAAATCAATATTAGAACAGATGTATTATTTCTATGTGTGTAAAAGAGGATAAAAATATAATATCCTTTTACCTGACATATATGGAACGAGCATTTAACATAAAGATCGGATTACTAATAATTTGTTATGTTTGACCAGGTGACAGACAATGGTGTGATTGGACTGGTCATGGGAAGCAGTTCGAAAACATTGAAGGTAAAATAACATGAATCATAACAATGCTTTACTTCTGTTGACGTGAACCTTTCATTAATTCAACCACAGAGGCCTGTAACAATGATTGTGAGGGATGATAGCTTGTATGGTATACTGTACATAGGCCCATGTGATTTTAACATTCAATTAATTTATTAATCAATATGACTTCTCATCATAAATCATAAATAAAGTTAGACATTGTGTGTTTATCTCTGTGAATAGCCAGGGTAATTTTGAGGCAAGGTCTGCTTGTAGTAGCTGGTAGCCACCTCACTGAACAAGGCCCAACACATGCATCCATAGCAACAGGGTAATTAGTAAAGCTTGCTGAAAAAATGCAACCACATCAGTACAGACTATTCAGCTCCTCAGCTTACTTAGAAACATAAACTACCACAAGTAGGGAGTGTCAAACCAGCACAAGTAGGGAGTGTCAAACCACCACAAGTAGTGAGTGTCAAACCACCACAAGTAGGGAGTGTCAAACCACCACAAGTAGGGAGTGTCAAACCTACCAACTGAGCTATTTTATCTCTGTATAGAGTAAAGAACTTATAGAGGGTGTGTATACCCATGGCTGACTGCAGCAAGCACTTCATATTTTATCATTATGGTCCAAAGATCTAAATATTCACACAGGTTAAAAAGTGTCTATATTTATTAAGTTAATAATGACAGCCAATTCTCTAACTGATTGTGATATTTTAAACTTTTTTTTCCATTACCACTTTGATCATACACCAAACCTGATCTTATCAATGATTTTGGACTCTTCAACACATGCTGTTATTATTCCTTTTTGTTTTCTAAAAACCAAAATGACGACATGGTGCTTTGACTAACTAAGATTGTGCACTAATTCTTCACTCCACCAGATAAGTTTTAAGACTACAAAAAAACCCCCTGAAAATGGTTTCTGTAATTGTCCTCACAAATTATTTTTAATTTTGTAATACAAAATCTGAGATTGACCATCGAAGTAGATGTCCTGCTTTTCAAAAAAGCATTTCAGTTTTGTTTACTTGTGAATCTTAGAAGACATAACAGGAGAAACAGTCGAGTAATACAGCATGGAGACTCTATTTATACATGTATGTTTAAAAATAATATATATAGTACTAAGTCACACAACTTAATTCACTATTGACTATTTACATAAAAGTCAGGTACTATTGTTTTTGTGTAGAACAGGTTTATCTGTTGATGTACTACAAAACCCACTATTTACAACACAGGAGGTGCACATGGATGGCTGTGTAAACCTAACAGATGAAGCTGTTGAAGGGGTGTTACAGTTCTGTCCTCAAATCTGTATTCTTCTCTTCCATGGCTGTCCCAAAATCACAGGTAAAAGTATACACATATATACGTCAATGTTAGATCATTGTTGTGCAACATTTTGAATGTAAATTTTCAAACTTGAATCATGAATGACCTGTTGGTACCAATTTTGATGGCTTTTTTAATGTTCCACAGTAAGTAAGATAATTTTGTTTGTTTGTTGGTATTACCTCCCTTAGCACATATTCAGAAGAATCCTAGACCTGTTGAACGGATCGATTTTTTTTCCTTCAATGAAAAGTGTATATTATAGGTATCTGTCTTTGATTTCAGAACAATCAAGACAAGCACTAGAACAGCTGACCATAGACAGAGCAGCACCTATGAAACAAGTCACATGGACTATTTACTGACCACTGAAATGAATAATTTTAGTGTTTAACAACAACTGGAAAGCATGGCAACTGGCCATCTAAATCGGAATAAAATATTTTCACCAATAGTGCCTCATATTGAATTTCATCAGATACTTTCACTTGTGTTTGGGTAACAGGATTTTATAATAAGACATTGATTAGCGTTGTAGCTGTAGGTTCCAATTTACAGTACCCGCTGCATGCAACTTCATTGATTTAGTGGGCAGTTTTTTCTAAAAATATTTTTCCAGCTTGGAATTCCATCTTCTTCACTTACTTTTGTCTGCTAGCCAGCAGACATTGTTCATAGAAATATTAAATATCTGCCTGTGAAATTCCACAATTACCCATAGATTTCCTTGGAAATCCAAGAACAATTCAGACACAGGAAAATCTACAGCTTGATGTAATGCATTGTGAAAAGACATGAAAATATTGTGTTTAACATTCCCCCAGACATTACTTAAAATGAACAGTGCTTGTTGGATGTCTACCTATAAACACTTGTTAATTATACTATCACCTGTAGTTGTAACATTACTAGTATTTTTTATCTTGATTTAGAACTTATGAACTGATGTGAAGATTCTGACAACATATGTACAGATTTGTGATATGTGTCTGTGCTTCCACATGTGAGTTTGTGTGTGTAGGTGTGTAGGTGTGTGGGGGGGGGGGATGGGGTTTGAGTGTGTGTGTGTGTGTGTGTGTGTGTGTGTGTGTGTGTGTGTATGTGTGTAGGGGGGTGGGGGTGATGGTGTGTGCGACTTCGTTACGTAGTAAATCTTTGCTCTCTATACAGCCACTCACAAATACTTGGATGCCTGAATTGTTTGTTTTGTTTATTTTTCTCTTCAAATTCAGATGTGGTTTATTCTACCACATATTTTCATATCTCACATTTCAAAATGAAACTTTTCTTTGTAAATAGCCTTATTACAAGTGTACCTTTATGTATGGATGTGTGATAAACATGTTGTATGGATGTGTGATATACATGTTGTATGGATGTGTGATGTACATGTTGTATGGATGTGTGATATACATGTTGTATGGATGTGTGATATACATGTTGTATGGATGTGTGATATACATGTTGTATGGATGTGTGATATACATGTTGTATGGATGTGTGATATACATGTTGTATGGATGTGTGATATACATGTTGTATGGATGTGTGATATACATGTTGTATGGATGTGTGATATACATGTTGTATGGATGTGTGATATACATGTTGTATGGATGTGTGATATACATGTTGTATGGATGTGTGATATACATGTTGTATGGATGTGTGATGTACATGTTGTATGGATGTGTGATATACATGTTGTATGGATGTGTGATATACATGTTGTATGGATGTGTGATGTACATGTTGTATGGATGTGTGATATACATGTTGTATGGATGTGTGATCACCTGACATCCCAACATATTATTTAGTATTGTTTAATTTAATATAAAGTATGTAACCTTGTCTTTGTTATGAAAATCATTGAATGCAGTTTGATTTTTAGATTTACAACATGTATGTATCTCCATTCAACTTGTGAAATAAATGAAATTTATTTTTTTAACATCTATTCTCAGTAACTTTAGTTGCAAACATTATAAGTATAAGTAGTATATTATATTATTATACTATTTATTGTTTTGTTTACTCTAACTGCTCTGGATGGCATGTGATGGACCTCCTGTATGTTGTTCAGTGAGGTAGAAACTAGTTGCTTGGTTGACAGGTTTTCCATCTCCGCGACTCCTCCCCTGTCCGGGTATTGTCTCACTGACAGACATCAGTGTTCTGGCCACTAGTTACTACAAGGAGGTCCCATCTAAAAAGGTCTCTGCTTGAAAGTTCATAGGTAGATAAATGCATCAAACATACAGATCCTATCTAAAAATGTCCCTGCTTGCAAGTTCATAGGTAGATAAACGCATCAAACATACAGATCCTATCTAAAAAGGTCCCTGCTTGCAAGGGCATAGGTAGATAAACGCATCAAACATACAGATCCTATCTAAAAAGGTCCCTGCTTGAAAGTTCATAGGTAGATAAACGCATCAAACATACAGATCCTATCTAAAAAGGTCCCTGCTTGCAAGTTCATGGGGGGGATAAACCCAGCATGCAAACAAAAGTTTTGATGTAAAAATCAAGTTATTGTTACATATGTCATTACACCATCCAAATTATTGGTGTGGTTGTAAATCATACCGTTTATCTCTCTGATTCTGTCCACATATAAATATTTCAGTTTAAGATTATAAAAGAAGTCTTCATCATACATGCATTTGTTTTATGTCAGAGTTACTTCCCTGTAGTTTTGAGAAATTGGCAGTAATTGCACCATCTATAACAACACATCTGGTCCTGTGTTAGCATTCTATTTCAAAATGATAAAGTCATAATCATGATAAATTGTTTAGCCCTTTAGATGATTTCTTCTTTGTCAGACTATTGGAAATTTACAGTCTAATAATCTACAAAATTCAGCTGCTGTGTCGGAGTGTTAAAATTTTATTATGAATTAAATCGATATAAACAAAAAATGTATTTGGGTTATTAAAATGTCAGTATGATATATAACTTCCTCAACTGGAGAACTGTAAATTTAAAATATTAAAAATTGACGAGTTATCAGACTATTCAGTCATAACACAGCCATTAAACTGCTGCCAAACAAAGGAATTTGTCCTCATCATGTAACTGTTACAACAACACAAAGTAAGACAACAGGCCCAATGGACCTGGCTTACTCTCCTGGTAGTCATTGTTTTTCAGAAATACTTGTGTCATATTACATGTGCATCAATATCAAATATGTGTCAACAAACCTTGAAACTTCTACAAATTGTGGATCCCGTCATGAACAAATCTGTCAACACCACTTTTTAGACAGGTGAAGGCAGTTGAGTATTTTAACAAATTAGAATCTAGTGGCCTTAATTACGGGTAAAGGTCATTAAATCAAGCAGTTGTTTTAAGCTTTATCCTAGGAACCTTACAGCCAAATAATGGTTTTAGGCCTTTTGAATATGAAGTTTTTTGAAGGTTTAACAAATTTGACCTTTGGCCTTTGGACCATTGATGAGCCGCAAAATTGAATTAGTTATTGATAGCCCAACTGTGGATAAATGGCCAGGATTATACTACTTCTACTTTTTAGTATCTCATCCCAGGTCTGTGGTAGCAGACTATGAAATAAATTTTGTACTGAAAAATTCCAGAAATCTTTGTTTCAGGTAGAGTTTCTTACTCTTTGTTTGGAAATCCTCAGTAATTTTAAAACATATGGTAAACCATTGTCTTATACACATGGATCTGATGGGAAATTCACATCAAAATTTTCATTTACAATCATTCAGCAATACTTCCTCTGTCTTTTAACATTAACAGAGAATCTTTATGACAGAAACACAAGAAAAAATAAGTAACAACACAAAAACCTGTATTTTTCCTGTTTGATTTAATGTTTCATCGCAATGAGACCAACAACTTATATAACAGATCAAACAATCACAACAAACAGTCCAAACCATGGCAAGTTACATACTAAATCTAGTATTAACTTTGTCAGAGAGCCATCAATGTAACATGAGGCAGTCAACTGTAAAAAAGAATTACCTTGGATATACTCAAACATGAAGGTTAAGTCGAATTGTATAATACAGAATGGCTATCTACATATCTATCTTATCAATAAATGGGCTGCTTTCCCCATCTCAACCCCCACCCCCTTTTTTTGTACCATTTCAACATATTCAAATTTAATCAAAACTAATTTAACATATTTATTCATCAATAAGCCCATGTCTGGTAATAAGCCCACCTATATCTGTTGCAAGTCAGTTGAAATGTCAGCAAATGCTATATCATTGTCCTGCTGTCTACCAAAGCTGTCTATATGTTGGCCCCCTTGGTTCATAACAACATATATATATAATAATCTATAATAAAATCTCTCTGTATATACTTTAAATATTTAACAGTTGGGCATTATTTTGTTGATGATATGATCTTGCATTCATGATGGTCTAGACTACAGACACATGTGTTGTCAGTTTACAGTCAAAGCAGGGGAAACAATTAATGATTTACTACAGACTTGATAATTTGATAAGAGAATAAGACTAAATTATATTTTATGTGTCACATTGCACTTGCCATGGTCTGAACAGCGGAGTCAAGAGGGTATAAACTGAGACAAGTTTACAAAGCTAGGCCTTATGATGTAGGAAGATGTGTTTATCACAGAGAAAGTCCACAATGTCACAAAGGGACACTCAGGTATACAAAATATATCTCATATATACAACGTTATATTTCTGGTAAAAGACGTCAAACATCAACAAGAAGTGAAGAATAAGATATGGTAGGAAACAATAATAAAACTGATATTTTTATGCTAAAAATCTAATACTAATGTTATATCACAACATTTGTATATGGTTCATTACAGCTCTTAAAGGTGCTCACCTACAAAAGTGGTGACCTTCAACTTCAGCAACAGTGACCTTCATTTACATCAGCAGTGACCTTCATCTATATCAAGGGTGACCTTTACCTACAACAAATGCAATCTTCAGCTATAGCAATGGTGACCTTCATCGTCAGCAACAGTGACCTTCACTTGCATCAACAGTGACCTTCACCTATAACAATGGTGACCTTCACTTATATCAAAGGTGACCTTCACCTACTGTAATGATTACACTAAAGGTGACCTTTAACTGCATCAACAGTGAATTTCACCTGCATCAACAGTGAATTTCACCCACAGCAAAACTGATCTACACCTACATAAAAAATTACCTGTAATACAAACTATCCAGCCAGTGACTTGTCACTATAATTACTACAGCATTGAGGATTTTCTTGGCCTATGAATTTTATACAAGGGGCCCTGTTGTTTTGGACTGTGATATAAGAAAATAATCTGTCATTTCACCAATACAAATCTGATGAGGATGACAGCAAACAAGGGAGGAATCTTTTGATGAGCCAAGTATGACAA